AAATTTCTAAGCACACTCTCCAAGTATGAGCCGTTTGACCCACTAGCCCCAGCGGTTAGCCAGTGTCTTTATTCTGCCGAAGCAAACGTTGCGCTCAACTGGCACAAAACCTTCTCTCTAAAGATCACTTCGAATAGGACCACGTGGACTGAAGAAGAACAAGACAAATACTCACGCCTCATCAGCGGTTTGTGCGAGATTTGGATGACCAACCCAGATGCTTCTTGTTATTATCTTGGATCAACGGCACAAGAACGCTTTGAAACGCTTATTGAACTACCCACTTATTTATGATGTATTAGAAGAAAATCAGGACGAAGAATAACTTTAACTCTATCAAATAACACTTCTTGATTTAAAACAAGTTATTTTTACTTTTGAAACAGTTTGTATTTTTTCACTTTATTATCAATAAACTTTTTTTGTTATAAATTCTGGCTCTTGTGCGTTTTCCGACTCTCTTTTAAAACTTACTCCAGGTAAATTTCAAAATATACTCGCCGGTAGATTTCTAAAATTTAAAAGTCAAATAAACAACTCATACAAAATAAATAACCCGCGCCTTTGCGATTAATATCTGGCTGCTTTGTTTTGTCCGACTCTCTTTTTTAAAACCTACCTAAGGTACATTTCAAAATTTACTCACCCGTAGATTTCTCAAATTTGAAAGGTAAAATAAACAAACTCATATATAGACCCACACCTTTACGATTCGATCCATTCTACTCTTCTCTTTCTCACGAACGGATGTTTTTTTTCGGGCTCTCGAAAGAGTTCGTATATTTTGTATTGCCAATAAACGTTCTTGTTTCTTGCTCTTTCCCGACTCTCTCGGAGCTGCGCTACGTGGCTTCCTACCCCTCCCGCTTCACGTCTGTTCATTTTCATCAATACCACCCCTCCCCCTATAAAATTTTAAAAGTGACACCGGTATACTCACCCCTATACTACTCCATGCGCTCTTCCTTCTGACATCTAACTTTCTTCTCAGCTTATATTTTGATTTAAATATGTCAAATTGTATTATAAGATAAGTTTGATATAGCTTATATATTTCCATAGTTCATACATTTCTGTTGCATTTTATGACTTTTAAGTGTTAAAACACTATGAAAGCCATTTTCATTTCTCACTTCGCAATTTTTAAGTAAAAAAAACTATCGAAAGAAAAGCAAAGGGCAACAGAACGGTTTTTGCCATTTCCCAGCGCGCACTTTTACTAGATTTATGTTTCGTTATCGCTCCCACTGTCGAAAAATCTGTGTCAGCTCCTTGTCGTGCAAAAACCTCTCTTTGCTTCGTCGATTTTAATGTCGGAGTCGAAGCTGTGGTCATACCGTCGTTATTGCACATGTTTCCATAGCAACATTTAGCATTGCATGACGTCAGCGATCCTGAGACGTTGGCATGGACGCAGAATCCGTGACTGCAGTATTGTTCAGACGCACAATGGCGCATTTCTTGGTAAAGAGAATTCCCGAGCCCGTCACGTGAAGACATTGTGATGGTGACACAGCGATCTTGTTTATCCGTGGTCAGCGGATCTTCTCCACACTGTTGTTTGATTGGATGGCTGCAGTTGATTGCTGGTGGTATGCCTGGCTCATTGGCTGTGGAGCATGCGTAGCACGACAAGTCTGCACCTAGGGATAGCGATAGAGAAAATTTACAGTAGCCCTTCAGTCTAACAGTTCATTGGACGCACAGCAGTGAGATTTCAAATCAGTCTGTGGCTTATAGGTTGATTGTACAATTAAGGTGATTTCAGGCGCTTTGGGCGCTTTCCATGACATTGAGAGAGGTATTAAGGCCCTTTACCAAGATGGTCGCCGCTCTCGAGCATTATTTTAATTGTTATTTTTTCAACACGGACAAAATTATTCCGCAGTGTTTTTTATCATTGTTCTAACTATAGAGCCATATGATGGTCATAAATATACATTGACCTAAAATGACGTTCCTAGCAGAATTAGAGATGACTGATCTTGAAAAGAGAGCTTCAGTACTAGGTACAGCGTAACCTCGTTAATCCGAACAGTGACCGTACTAATAGGGTGGCCGTAAGGCTGGGTACCACTGTATCCAGTTAACTGATACTCACCTGAGGGAGACATCGGATCAGCCGCAATATGCCTAGCTACCGGTCCCTCGCGGTTGCAAAGATTTCCTTCACAGCAAAGGGCTTCA